ATAAGAACAATTATCAGGTAAGAACTACATTCACAGGGCTGGAGGGATGGCTCAGAGGTTAAAGAACACTGGCTGCTCTTTCGGAGGTCCTGAGTTCAATTCCCAGCACCCATATGGTGGCTCACAACCATCTGTAGTGAGATCTGACACCCTCTTCTAAATAAATAAATAAATCTTAAAAAAAAGAATTACATTCACAATGTCCAGTCATTTGTATTTGGCAAATTTGGAGAAACTACTGTATTATCTTCCCTATCTTAGTGAGGTCAAAGTTTTTTGTATCTAATTCACTTTTTATCCTAACTTGTATTACCAACCTAAAACTATCTTTTTAGACCTCAAAACATTTTCTTAGATAAACAATTTAAGCTTTTATGTCTCCCAACCTTATACACTTTATATATCTTATGTAATTTTCTTTTCTGATTTTGGTAATAAGGAAAACTGTAACGATAGCTATCTCATCTTCAACTCCACAAGTGACCTGAGAAGATATAATATTACCTGAGTAAATAGGAAGTGCAGAGCAAACAACTTCCAAAACTAAGAAACGACAGAGATGGGAGTCTGCCTGGACAGTCACCCAAGGTTCCTCTGTAATGTTAGGGCATCAATCTTTGGCCTACAGGCCTAGAACACCTGACAGACTTTTCTGTGAAGCAGGAAATTTGGAGGACTGTCCTACCTTATCTTGGCAAAGTTCAGCAGTCACTTTCTTTTATGTCTTGCTTATCCAATTTGGACAGTGTACTGTCATCAGTTGAGGCAAGGGCAGTTTCTTACCCAAATGGATAGCTTTGCCACATTGAAAGCAGATTGAGTTCTTTGATGCCCATCATCTTTTTTTGAAATAAATTTGTGCTGCCAGGAGCAGACATGTCTTACCATCATGAAAAGCCTTAAGTTATTAAAACATCTTAAATGCCATATTTGTAGGTTCCTGAAGTGTTTGAAAACCATTTACCTATCTAAAATATATCTCTGTATGACCTTGAAAACATACCTGACTACAAGTTTGATTGTTAAAGATGACTAATTTTTCTTAATTATCCTAAATGGTTTATAAAAACAGCTTTCAAGGTCTAGAACTTTACATTACATTTTTAAATGAGCTACAAAGGTACAATACCTTATACAAAAATAGAAACATATATATAGTTGTCACAGCTAGGTTTTACTATTGCTGTGAAGAGACACCATGATCACGGCAACTCTTATAAAGAAAACATTTCACTGAGGGTGGCTCACTTACAGTTTCAGAGGTTCAGTCCACTATGATCATCAAGGGGAGCATGGCGGCGTGCAGGCAGACATGGTGCTGGCTACATCTTGACCAGAAGGCAGCAGGAAGTAGACTGACACACTGAGGGAAGCTTGAGAAAGAGACCTCAAAGCCCGCCTCCACAGTGACACACTTCCTCCAACAAGGCCACACCTCCTAATAGTGCCACTCCCTTTGGGGGCCATTTTCTTTTAAACCATCACAACAGTATAATAAAAATAACCTTAAATTTGTATCAATATACAAAAATACCTTAAACAAAAGTAGAAACATATAGAGTATATTCTAACAAAAATAATCTTAAATTTGTATTACTATACAAAAATCCATACCAATGTAAAATATTTGAGACTAGTGGTTGTTTAAAAGTAGACTCAACAACCCATCCTTTTATCCCAACATTTCTATACTATATCTCCCCCTCTTCCCTTCAGAAAGAGATCCTTGAATTTAATCTCACTTTTTTTCCTAACCATTACCAATAACCACTTGTAACCAACCCCCCTAAATGATAACAAACATTCACAAACCCAACGAATGACCACAAACCACCTACCCCACCTCTTGGGAATGTGGCTGTTATGTTCTCTGGACTGCTTTCTGTTATCTGGGGGTGATGGCATCTTTAGAGGACCTGAGAAAATTGGGATAATGGTCAAGCCCTGGGAGAGCTAGCTGTATTATTTTTGCTTAGTCTCTGTGTGATGGGAAAGTGTACAGCTTATCTGAAGTCTTGGCTGGAGTAGTCTGTGAGGTTGGACCATCTCAGCTAGCAGCTTTGAAGTTGTTCTGGATACAGAATTTTGAGGAGACTGCAACAGAGGCATTCTGAGAGGCTGGATCACCTGGGCTACTTGTCTTTATTGGTGTCTGGTCTGTTTTTTTCTGAAAACACATACACTTTTAGCACCTTCTTATTTTTGTTTTTGTTTTTGTTTTTGAAACAGGGTTTCTCTGTGTAGTTTTGGTGCCTGTCCTGGATCTTACTCTGTAGACCAGGCTGGCCTTGAACTCATAGAGATCCACCTGGCTCTCTCTTCCAAGTGCTGGGATTAAAGGTGTGTGCCACCACCGCCCAGCTCTTAGGCTTGTTTTTAGCTAGCTCTTATAACTTAAATTAACCCATTTCTACTCATCTATGTACTGCCACGTGGCTCATGGCTTTTACCTCTCATCCTTCATGTCTTGCTTCCTCAGTGTCCAGCTGGTGACTTTGCCTTCTTTTTCTCAGCATTCTCTCTTCCTAGCTATTGGCTCTTTAGCTGTTTATTGAACCAATCAGAGTGATACATCTTACACAGTATAATCAAATATCTTGAAGCATTTACCCTCTCTTTAAAGACTTTATTATCTTTAAACTATTCTTTTCTAACACTGTCTATTTTTAAACCATTTTTTACTGTATATGTTTAAAAGTTTTCTCAGTCTGGACCACTTTACTGTGCACTTGCAGTGTTCTCTAGCCATAAGACAAACCTAAATGGCCATGCCAGCCATTTGGTGTCTGGCTCCACACACCTCGGTTCCTTGAGTGCCTAGCCTCATGTAGGTGTTTACTGTCCCAGCTCTGGAAAGCTGTTGTGTCCATGATGCAGCAGGCATTTTTACCTAGCACACCAGCTGCTCAAGAGCTCTGCTACATAGCAGGGCCTCTTAAAAGAGCCATGCTTCTGTATGCTGAGCCTACCTGAGAGACAAAAGACTGCTTTCTCAGACTCTATGTGGATATTCAAGCCCCACATTGGGCACCATATGTAGTAAGTCTTTCTCTATCACGGCAGCCAACTCCCAAATAATGACACGGAGACTTCTTATTAATTATGAAAGTTCAGCCTATAGCTTAGGCTTGTTCCTAACTAGCCCTTACAACTTAAATTAACCCATTCACATTAATCTATGGTCTATCACGTGGCATTACCTCTCTTCCATCTTGCATGTCCTCTTTCCTTTCTGTGTCTTCTGGTGTCTCCTGTGTGCCTAGATTTTTCTCCTCTTCCGTTTTCTCCCTGGAAATCCCACCTATACCTCCTGCCTAGGTATTGGCCATTCAGCTTTTTATTACACCAATCACAGCAATACATCTTCACACATTGTCCAAATATCCCACAACATGGAAGTGCTGCTATGACACCAAGGGAACCATGGAAACATCAAGGTGGTAGCTACATTCCTATTCCCACCCATCCAACGAGAACACCAACAAGCTAGCCTATTATAGCTTAAGAACTACAACGGAAACTTTATACAGCTGTGTTAGGGGTAGGGCTGACCTAGGCAGGTGATGCTAGTGTTATGGAGAGGTCCACACTTTCCTCTGGTCTCTACATCAGCAACAGTCTTTGTCTTGTGGTCTCAAAAGAGAAAAATTCAGATATAGGCGTAAAAAGACAACACAGGAGTAAAGTAGTCAAGAGTTCTTTGTACTAGTATTTGCCTGCATGTATGTACATGCACCATGTGCATGCCTGGTGTCTAAGATGGTCAGAAGAGGGCTTTTGAATCCCCTGGAACCAGACCTACAAACTGTTGTGAGCTGCAAGGTGGGTGTTGGGAACTGAACTAGGGTGTTCCTCAAGAGCATCAAGTGCTCTTAACTGCTGTGCCATCTCTTCAGCCCTGAAGTCAAGAGTTTTAACCAGAGCAAGTAAGGAAGTAAAAGTATACTCTGGAAAAGCAATCGGCTGCATTCTGGCAGAAGAGGGGTTTAGATTTGTCCTTTATCTCCTCCCTGTGCCTCCCTCACAGAGGGCAGTAAAAGAAAGTGGCATGCTCTTTCTTGGAAGCTCGTTTTACCCACTGTAAATAAACATTTAAGATGCAAGAATATGTCTAGGGATTTAAGTACCCTTGAAGTTGAAAAGTTTACTATGGGAAAAGGTAGTAGAACTCTAGGTATGATCCCTTATCCAGAAAGACCCCGAAGCCAGTTTAAGCTGAGCCAACTAGTAGACCACTGCTATCTATTGTTCTTTACATCCTTTTTGGGGGGCCCTGAGCTGACCCATCTGGAGAAACCACTATCACCTATTGTTCTTTAGGTCCTGTTTTAGGGGGCCTGGTTGGTCATAACCTCCTGCCTAACACTATGGCAGGCTCCAAGGAGAAGGCTATACAAGAGTAGCAGTTCAAAGCAGAGAGAGCAGGGCGGGGCTTTCATGCAGACGCAGGAATACCACGTGTGACAACAAAGGGGTGTGCAACACCCGTGCATGTGCGTAGCTGCCAACTGCGGGGAGAAGTGCGGGCTTGGGCCATGAGGGACTTTACCTGCGCAGATTTCTTCCCTGCTCAGTCAGCGTTTGACTGTGGAAGGCCCAACAATATCAATTGCCACACAATTTTCAGCTGAAAAAGACTGATAAATCCACCCAGCTTTCATTTTTTTTTAAATAGACAAATACACGCAGGCTTTGGAGAATTGAAGTTATCTGTCTCATGTAAGAGCCTTGGGCAGCACTAGAAAGCAGACGGATTTTCTCTGCTTCTGATCCTGAGGCATTGCCTAGGGCTATCAAATCCTGGGTAAACACTAGTACAGTGTTCGGCTTCTACCTGAGTAGACTACATGTCCCACAATGCCTCGGGCCAAGCTCCCCACCCACTACCCAGCTGGACGCTGCCTCCACCAGTAGCGGAGCGGAGTTTCCAGAGACTGTCCTGAGCAGCCAATGAGCGTGGCGGTGGGCGGGCCTCTCCCGTCCATTGTTCTCCGTACCCCATGGGCTTGAGCTGAGGTGAATCCAGAGGGGCCGGGCCGGGCCGAGGGGCGCTTTTGCTCGCGGAGCGACTGGGAGAGCAGGATCTGGTCCCCGGAGAGGCGAGCCTGAGAGGCAGGTCCGGAGCCGCGCGCCCCGCGGGGAACAGCCAGGGAGACGAGCGAGTAACGGGCCTGGAGCCAGCTGAGGGCAGCTTGGGGGAGGGGCGCCGGTGTGGGCGTCTGGCGGCCCGGGGGCTCCGCGCTGAGCTCTGCGCCCCGGCTGCTCCGGGCCGGCGGAGTTCCGCTCTCGCCGGAGCTCCGCACACACGCAGCCCAGGAGCGCAGCTCTACACTGGGAAGGGATGCTCGACGACATCCCGCCGAGCCTCCTCCTTGGTCCAGATGGGGAAACTGAGATCCCGAGGGGGCGTGTCGTCTCCCGCTTTAGCAAATGGGCTGTCTAGGTTCAGTGTACCGGTGCTGCCCGGGAAGAATTCCGATGTGTTTGTTTTTCCCGTAGTCGTTCGGACAAATGGACATTAGGAGCATCAGTTTTGTTGTTGTTGTTTTATTGCTGTTCTGTTTTTACTTTTGCTATTTTCATGGGAGTGGGAAGGCATGTTATCTGAATCTATGGTGTAATGATTTTTAAAAATAAATATCCATTGCTTCCATAATATTTAAATAGTTTTTAATTCCACTGCTCTTAATATTTTGTGGAGTTGCTCTTCAGCTCCCCCCCCCATGTATCCCCATGTATGTTCATTTTAAAAGGGAATTGGGAAATCCTGGGTGATGGGACATGGTAGTATCTCAGTACTCAGGAGACAGGGCAGGAAGATCAGGAGTAGCGAGACCTTGCTTCAGAAACAGAAACAAACAGAATCTCTGTACTGAATCTGCAGGGACGTTTTCTTGTTACTATCCCCAAACAGTACAATAAAACAACTGTTTACACAGTATTTACCCTGTATATGTTGTCTAGAGATGACGGAAAGTATATAATACATCATTTTATATAGGGGGTTTGAGCATTCACAGATTCTGGAATCTGTGCGATTCCTGGAACCAGTTCCTTGAAGATAACCTCCTTTGAAATACAGCGGTAATGCCTGCTCCTGGTGAAATGGGGAGCACATTGACACATGTTCCATTGCCAATCATTAAGATGTCCATTACGATAAGGATGAGTGTTATTGTCTGTTTATTAAGTGGTCACTGAGGTTGAATGACTAACCTCTTTGTTAGATGAGGGTCCCTTGCTCCGCAGGAAGTCTGAACTGACTTAGGGCAGGAAATGTCAGTTCTGTTTCCTTCACCCCAGAACGACTCATCCTTTGGTCTTCTGACAACGCTGTGTTATTATTTGTGTGTGTACGTGTATGAGCTATGTCTTTTGCCGCGGTCACTGTGTTCAGGAGTAAGGCAGCAAGCCTCTGATGGTTTTGAATAGGAGGTGGCCCCTGGGCGTTAGGTGGCTTAGGATGGTGTGCTTAGTGAATCTGGTTCTCTGTCTTGTTTCTCAGCAGCGTTTCTTGTTGAGATTGGAGGAAGGAGTTACCTTCTCAGAGAGCCTGCCTGGAGACAGATGCCAGGCTTGAAGCCTGAGTGATCATCCAGGAAGTTGGACAATGGCAGCTGAAGAGCCAGCGGTGACCACTCCCCTCAGCCCTCTGGTTCAGGTGCCTCCAGAAGAGGAAGATGAACAGGCCGAGGTCACCACTATGATCCTGGAGGAGGATTCGTGGGTGCAGGAAGCAGTGCTGCAGGAGGATGGCCCCGAGTCGGAGCCCTTTCCCCACAGTGCTGGAAAGGGCAGCCCCCAGGAGGAGGGTGCGGCCGAGGGACCTCAGGGTGCGCTTGTGCGATTTCGGGAGCTCTGTCGGCGCTGGCTGAGGCCAGAGGTACACACTAAGGAGCAGATGTTAACTGTGCTGCCGAGGGAAATCCAGGCCTGGCTGCGAGAGCACCGGCCTGAGAGCAGCGAGGAGACCGTGGCCCTGGTGGAAGACTTGACCCAGACTTTTCGGAACAGTGGTAAGCTGCAGAACCACAGAGGGAGAGGGTGGGTGGGAGCCTCCCGAGGTGGGGTAGTGTCATGTTTGTGCAGGAGCGAGTGTCTTCACAGAGTAGGAGATGGCGCTGGTCTCTCCCTACTCTGTCTGTGGCACTCAGCAAGGCCATGGCTCTTCATGCCCTCACTGTGTGCGGTGGCAGCTCCATCCAGGATTTCAGTATGAGGGGCTTGGAGGGCTGTTCTTGGAGTTCCACTTTCATACTAAACACAGGCTTGACTTGTTTATTCAGGAGGCTGGGAAGTTGAGGGAGGTCATGGGGGGGGGTCTGGGATAAAGTTCAATAAAATGTCTGCTTTTATTGAACAAAAGGTTATCTGGAAGCTATTTTTGTACTTGTGATTTTTAGTTTCCCTTGCTATAGAGAGAAAGTGGTAGTGGGGGGGGTCTCATTATGTAGACCAGGCTGGCTTCAGATGTACAGAGATCTGCCTGCCTCTGCTTCAAGAATATGACATTCTTCCCTTAAGATTAAGGAACAGAAAATTTCATTGCTTTGCAGGTATAAGCATAAAAATGACCTCTGTAATCCACCCCTTGGTCTTTTCAGTTGGTTGTAATCATTCAGATAATTCCAGCAATTAGGGGGAAAAATGCAATTTTTTCAAAGTGGTCATTGTATGAAATGATGATAAACAAGTAAACTGTCTGGGCTTCCTGTTATATAACATTATCTTAGACCCTTAAAAGAGTAATTAATGGGCCTGGCGGTGGTGGCGCACGCCTTTAATCCCAGCACTCAGGAGGCAGAGCCAGGCGGATCTCTGTGAGATAGAGACCAGCCTGGTCTACAGAGCAAAATCCAGGACAGGCACAAAACTACACAGAGAAACCCTGTCTCAGGGAATAATAATAATAATAATAATAATAATAATAATAATAATAATAATTAATGACCAGGCATGGAGGGGCACACCTGTTACCTTAGTACTCAGAATTGAGGCAGGAGGATTGCAAACTAGGTCTCTGTATATAGAATATATCCCATCTGGAGAGAAAAAAAAAAGCTCTTTATGATGGTTACTATATTTGTCTGCTTTGTTAGTAATAAGTTCTGGATCCTTCTTCCATGTAGCTATTGTGTTTGCATTTGGCCCTGGGCTATAAACAGTACTCATTTGGTTACCAATTATTTACTTCAGTTCTACCTTTCCCCTGGGACCATTTCAGGACCCATAGGATGTGGCTGCTTTGTGCTGATGAAGTACTTCAGGAGTTAGAAAGGTGTGTGGAGAGGCCAGGCCAGATCAGGGAAGGGCGCGTGGAAGACGGGGACTGTGAGTAGGAGGCTTCAGAGGAGAGTGTGGAAAGTCACAGGGCCAGGGGGAAGCTGTGACAGCTGAGAGGAGCTGTGTGCAGCCAAGCCTCTGAAGTGGGAGAGCCGCGGAAGTAGGCTGCTTCAGATGACAGTGAGGCAGGCTTGCTGATTGGAATGGAAAGTGTGTTTTCAGGAAGTGGTGGGAGTTGGGGGAAGGGAGGATGGAGTTTTGAATTTATTGTCATTGGCCTCTGCAGGTTCTTCAACTAGGGCCTGTGGGACATGAGAGGAAGCTGAGTTTGGCAACAGGATGTAGGTTTGATAAGATTGGGGAGAGGCTAGAGGCTGGTGAGCAGCTAGAAAGTAGCCTGGTCATGGGATGTTCAATGGTGGGAGTCAGGCCAGGGTGGAGACTGTCGGATGTGCAGTGACTGGAGTCAGGAGGAGGTGGAGACTGTGGATGTGCAGTGACTGGAGTCAGGAGGAGGTGGAGACTGTGGGATGTGCAGTGACAGGAGTCAGGAGGAGGTGGAGACTGTGGATGTGCAGTGACGGGAGTCAGGAGGAGGTGGAGACTGTGGGATGTGCAGTGACGGGAGTCAGGAGGAGGTGGAGACTGTGGGATGTGCAGTGACTGGAGTCAGGAGGAGGTGGAGACTGTGGGATGTGCAGTGACTGGAGTCAGGAGGAGGTGGAGACTGTGGGATGTGCAGTGACTGGAGTCAGCCTGTGGAGGAGACTGTGGGATGTGCAGTGAGTGGAGTCAGGAGGAGGTGGAGACTGTGGGATGTGCAGTGACTGGAGTCAGGAGGAGGTGGAGACTGTGGGATGTGCAGTGACTGGAGTCAGAAGGGGGTGGAGACTGTGGGATGTGCAGTGACTGGAGTCAGGAGGAGGTGGAGACTGTGGGATGTGCAGTGACGCGAGTCAGGAGGGGGTGGAGACTGTGGAATGTGCAGTGACTGGAGTCAGCCTGTGGAGGAGACTGTGGGATGTGCAGTGAGTGGAGTCAGGAGGAGGTGGAGACTGTGGGATGTGCAGTGACTGGAGTCAGGAGGGGGTGGAGACTGTGGGATGTGCAGTGACTAGAGTCAGGAGGAGGTGGAGACTGTGGGATATGCAGTGACTGGAGTCAGGAGGGGGTGGAGACTGTGGGATGTGCAGTGACTGGAGTCAGCCTGTGGAGGAGACTGTGGGATGTGCAGTGAGTGGAGTCAGGAGGAGGTGGAGACTGTGGGATGTGCAGTGACGCGAGTCAGGAGGAGGTGGAGACTGTGGGATGTGCAGTGACTGGAGTCAGGAGGAGGTGGAGACTGTGGGATGTGCAGTGACGGGAGTCAGGAGGAGGTGGAGACTGTGGGATGTGCAGTGACGGGAGTCAGGAGGAGGTGGAGACTGTGGGATGTGCAGTGACCGGGAGTCAGGAGGAGGTGGAGACTGTGGGATGTGCAGTGACTGGAGTCAGGAGGAGGTGGAGACTGTGGATGTGCAGTGATGGGGGTCAGGAGGAAGTGTAGACTGTGGGATGTGCAGTGACTGGAGTCAGGAGGAGGTGGAGACTGTGGGATGTGCAGTGAGTGGAGTCAGGAGGAGGTGGAGACTGTGGGATGTGCAGTGACTGGAGTCAGGAGGAGGTGGAGACTGTGGGATGTGCAGTGACTGGAGTCAGGAGGAGGTGGAGACTGTGGGATGTGCAGTGACTGGAGTCAGGAGGAGGTGGAGACTGTGGGATGTGCAGTGACTGGAGTCAGGAGGGGGTGGAGACTGTGGGATGTGCAGTGACTAGAGTCAGGAGGAGGTGGAGACTGTGGGATGTGCAGTGACTGGAGTCAGGAGGGGGTGGAGACTGTGGGATGTGCAGTGACTGGAGTCAGCCTGTGGAGGAGACTGTGGGATGTGCAGTGAGTGGAGTCAGGAGGAGGTGGAGACTGTGGGATGTGCAGTGACGCGAGTCAGGAGGAGGTGGAGACTGTGGGATGTGCAGTGACAGGGGTCAGGAGGTGGAGACTGTGGGATGTGCAGTGACTGGAGTCAGGAGGAGGTGGAGACTGTGGATGTGCAGTGACTGGAGTCAGGAGGAGGTGGAGACTGTGGATGTGCAGTGACGGGAGTCAGGAGGAGGTGGAGACTGTGGGATGTGCAGTGACTGGAGTCAGGAGGAGGTGGAGACTGTGGATGTGCAGTGACTGGAGTCAGGAGGAGGTGGAGACTGTGGATGTGCAGTGACGGGAGTCAGGAGGAGGTGGAGACTGTGAGATGTACAGTGACGGGGGTCAGGAGGAGGTGGAGACTGTGGGATGTGCAGTGACTGGAGTCAGGAGGAGGTGGAGACGGTGGGATGTGCAGTGACGGGGGTCAGGAGGAGGTGGAGACTGTGGGATGTGCAGTGACTGGAGTCAGGAGGAGGTGGAGACTGTGGGATGTGCAGTGACTGGAGTCAGCCTGTGGAGGAGACTGTGGGATGTGCAGTGACTGGAGTCAGGAGGAGGTGGAGACTGTGGGATGTACAGTGACGGTGGTCAGGAGGAGGTGGAGACTGTGGGATGTGCAGTGACTGGAGTCAGGAGGACGTGGAGACTGTGGGATGTGCAGTGACTGGAGTCAGCCTGTGGAGGAGACTGTGGGATGTGCAGTGAGTGGAGTCAGGAGGAGGTGGAGACTGTGGGATGTGCAGTGAGTGGAGTCAGGAGGAGGTGGAGACTGTGGGATGTGCAGTGACGCGAGTCAGGAGGGGGTGGAGACTGTGGGATGTGCAGTGACTGGAGTCAGGAGGGGGTGGAGACTGTGGGATGTGCAGTGACGGGGGTCAGGAGGTGGAGACTGTGGGATGTGCAGTGACGGGGGTCAGGAGGTGGAGACTGTGGGATGTGCAGTGACAGGGGTCAGGAGGGGGTGGAGACTGTGGGATGTGCAGTGACGGGAGTCAGGAGGAGGTGGAGACTGTGGGATGTGCAGTGACTGGAGTCAGGAGAAGGTGGAGACTGTGAGATGTACAGTGACGGGAGTCAGGAGGAGGTGGAGACTGTGTAATGTGCAGTGACGAGAGTCAGGAGGAGGTGGAGACTGTGGATGTGCAGTGACTGGAGTCAGGAGGAGGTGGAGACTGTGGGATGTGCAGTGACTGGAGTCAGGAGGAGGTGGAGACTGTGGGATGTGCAGTGACTGGAGTCAGGAGGAGGTGGAGACTGTGGGATGTGCAGTGACTGGAGTCAGGAGGAGGTGGAGACTGTGGATGTGCAGTGACTGGAGTCAGGAGGAGGTGGAGACTGTGGGATGTGCAGTGACTGGAGTCAGGAGGAGGTGGAGACTGTGAGATGTACAGTGACGGGGGTCAGGAGGAGGTGGAGACTGTGGGATGTGCAGTGACGCGAGTCAGGAGGGGGTGGAGACTGTGGGATGTGCAGTGACTGGAGTCAGGAGGGGGTGGAGACTGTGGGATGTGCAGTGACGGGGGTCAGGAGGTGGAGACTGTGGGATGTGCAGTGACGGGGGTCAGGAGGTGGAGACTGTGGGATGTGCAGTGACAGGGGTCAGGAGGGGGTGGAGACTGTGGGATGTGCAGTGACGGGAGTCAGGAGGAGGTGGAGACTGTGGGATGTGCAGTGACTGGAGTCAGGAGAAGGTGGAGACTGTGAGATGTACAGTGACGGGAGTCAGGAGGAGGTGGAGACTGTGTAATGTGCAGTGACGAGAGTCAGGAGGAG